GGGGTGGGGGGTGGGCACAAGGGGTGAAGGGAGTCATATATATGGTGATGGACAAACAAAAATGTACAACCCATAAATTTCACAATGTTAGAAACCATTAAAACATCAATTAAAAAAAAATTTAAAAAAAAAACAAAAAACAAAACAAACAAACAAAAAAATTTACCCTTTTCAAGAGTACAGTTCAGTGGTTTTTTTTTTTTGAGGAAGATCAGCCCTGAGCGAACATCCATGCCAATCCTCCTCTTTTTGCTGAGGAAGACCAGCCCTGAGCTAACATCTATTGCCGATCCTCCTCCTTTTTTCCCTTTTTCTCCCCAAAGCCCCAGTAGATAGTTGTATGTCATAGGTGCACATCCTTCTAGTTGCTGTATGTGGGACGCGGTCTCAGCATGGCTGGACAAGGGGTGTGTCGGTGTGCACCCGGGATCCGAACCTGGGCTGCCAGTAGCGGAGCGTGCGCACGTAACCGCTAAGCCAGGGGGCAGGCCCCCAGTTCAGTGGTTTTTAGTATTTTCACAGAATTGTACAACCATCACAATTCCAGAACATTTTCATCATTCCAGAAAGAAACCCTATACCCATTAGTGGTCACTTCCCATTCCCTCTCTCCCCCTGACCTTGGCAACCACCAATCTACTTTCTGTCTCTATGAATTTGCCTATTTCTGGACATTTCATATAAAGAAATCTTACAATGTATGGTTTTTGTGTCTGGCTCCTCTTACTTACTGTATTGTTTTCAAGGTTCATCCATGTTGCAGCATGTATCCTTTTTATGGCTGAATAATATTCCATTGAATGGACATACGTGTCACATTTTCTTTATCCAGTCATCAGTTGATGGCCATTGGGTTGTTTTCATTTGTGTATTATGAATAACGCTGCTAAACACATTCATGTACAAGTCTTTTTGTGGACATATGTTCTTAATTCTCTTGGGTATATACCCAGGAGTAGATATGGTAAGTCCATGTTTAACTCTTTCAGGAAATGCCAGACTTTTCCAACGCAGCTGCACCATTTTATATTCCCACCTGTGATGTACTGAGGGTTCCAATTTCTCCTCTTCTGTCTTGTTATTGTCTGTCTTTTGGATTACAGCCATCCCACTGGTATGAAGTAGTGTCTTACTGTGGTTTTGATTTGTATTTTCCTGATGACTAATGATGTTGATCATCTTTTCATTTGCTTGTTGGCCATTTGTATAGCTTCTTTGGGCAGATATCCATTCAGAGCCTTTGCTCATTTAAAGTATCGGATTTTCCTTTATTGAGTTGTAAATGTTCTTCGTATATGCTAAATACAAGTCCCTTATCAAGTACATGATTTGCAATATTTCCCCCCATTCTGTAGGTAGTCTTTTCAGTTTTTTCAAAAAGTGACCCCATCAAGGTATCCTTTAAAGCACAAAAGTTTTAAATTTGGATGAAGTCCCAATTCTTGAATTTTTATTTTGTCACTTGTGTTTTAGGTGTCATAGCTAAGAAACTTGTTTTATTCAAAGTCATGAAGATTACTTCTGTGTTTTTTTCTAACCATTTAAGCCCTTATATTTAGGCCTATGGTCATTTTGAGTTATTTTTTTGTATATGGTGTTTGTTAAGGGTCCAACTTCATTCTTTTGTGTATGGATACCAGACGTCCCAAAGCCATTAGTTGAAAAAACTTTTTCTCATTGAATTGTCTTGCCACTCTCATAAAAAAATCAGTTGAGCATAAATCTAAGGGATTATTTTTGAACTCTCTATTCTATTCCATTGGTCTGTCTATACGTCTAGTTCTTCTTTTTATAGTTCCTTCCCATGATCTCTATTAGCACTTCCCTCCAAAAACATACAACCTAAGTTTAAAACAGTTGTTGACAGACATCAAGGGAAGTTTCCTAGCCCTGGGTCCACCTCCTCCCAGCCAAACTGCTGCCCCATATCAAAATTCTGATGCCACTAATTGGACCAGGACTCTCTTGAAGTTCAAAGCTCTTAGTCTCCCAAGTCTAGTATTGTACTTGGTAGTTTGTAGGAACTTAATGGTTAAAGGATGTGTGGATATGTGGATGTCTGAATGAATGAAATGAAAACTGATGTAACTTGGTGGCTCAATGGCTGAGTTCAACGATGTTTTTGAGACTGTGTCATTGTAAGGTTGAGTACACTGAAGGAAGATTTTGAGGGAAATCTATAATGAAAAGTTGAGTTTCGAATTCACATTATCAGCTAATGTCTTCTGGAAAGCTAAGAGACATCTTTCTAGGCGAGTCAAAATTATACATATGCTCTGGTTATTTCCTATAACTTCAAGTATAGAAAATGCCCTGAGTTATACAAACAGGAGATGTTAATCCTTGCAAGATAGTGTTGAACTAAGACGTAAAATCTGGGGTTGAATGTACACACCTAAATAATTTGTCATTTACTCTCTCCAGGACCATTACACTGAAATGATCACTGTAACTAAAATTTTATTTGTGGTCTTTTATCACATGCATTAATTCCTTTAAGAAGCAAGGATTAATGAGGACCTCTTATGGTTCATCAAGTCCTAATTGGGAATCTTGGTGTTGTGACTATTAACACACTAATTGTAGGCAGGAAAAACAGCAATTTAAGAAAAAAATATGTAGGTAGTGCAGAACCTTCAAATATTTAATTAAATGACAAAAAACTTCTTTGCTATAAACACCCATGAACTGAAAGTAGATGAAGAGTTTTTGGTCTGGTGATAAGATTGCATGACTCAGCAATTTCTTTGTACTGTCATTTAAATACTTCTCAAGGAGGCTATGAAATACAATATACAATGTGACCTTTATTAAACATTTGGACCGTCTTAAATACATTCAAGGCATTTAAATTTTTAAATTTTTTGTGCTCATTACAGTTCCTAAAAAACACATTAACTAAAATTCAAACATCTCTTCAAAACAAAAATGTTGCAGATTTCTCCCACCAGACCTGGTTTTGTCCATTAAATCTCTATGGTATGGAGGATAGATCCAGAAACCCAGCACCGACTTCCAATGAAACATCAGCCACATACTAGACCTCTTAACCCACAAAAGAATGTAATTTACTTATAGATCTCCAGTACTCCTCTGGCCCCTGGGCAGACCACTATTGGCTCACAGCCCTTTCAGCCACCAGGTAAGGTGTCCTTTCTACTTCTTAGCCTTGGAAATCTAGCACCAAGATTTGGACTTTTTCACTGCAATTCATAATTATTACCAGTTCCTCAACTGTGGCTTCCATTGTCAAAAAACTAGCATTCTTCTCAAGAAACTTAGATAAATCTGCTTTTTTCAAAGTAGAGAACATTGAGAATTAGAGTGAAACTAGATGCACAATAGAATAGGAAGGTAAACATCTGCACCATATTCAACAGGGACTAAGCTACAGGTCAAAGAATCACTTATTGTTGCAAAATCTTTATTTGGCTAGAGGATGGGATTAAAAAAACATATAGCTTTCCCCAGGAAACTGTTCTGTTGAGATCAGACCATATGATTATGTATGTGAGTTTGCCCTATGCAAAACACTAGACATAAATCTTCACCTTTGAATAAGCGAAGCAAGTCTATCTGACCACCTTCCCACAGAACCTAGTTTTTATGGAAAACAAATCAATTAAGCTAAACCCCTACAACACATTAAATGTATATTCATTTTTAAAAGCCTAAAAGAACAGTGGAATTACAAATTATTTTGTATTTTAGAGGCTTTCACGATTTAAAAAGTTAACATTACAATTTAATTTGTGCTGCTAAAAAGCAAAAGCTGTCTCGACGCTGACTTGACTCCATGACTTGCCGGAGAATCATCTAAAGCTTTTATGCGTCATGATGTTCCTGAGTCACGCGACCTTTGCAAGGATGCCTGACTTTGGCCTTTCCTGTACTATGGTGAATCCATCACTCACTTACTACTAGAGATGTGTACCCCAACTCAAATCCAGCGAAAAGCTGAGCACCTGAGAAGTCACTGGCTCAGGATATATTTGCCGATCACCCGAAATTTAACAGTCTGTGCTCCCAAGTCTCCTATCCTAGAGTCAGTCTATACGGGGTGAGGAGCAATCTGGAGGAAGGTGGCAAGGCTTCTGGAAGACGTTATTTTCCTCCGTTAGCATGCAGGATTCAACTCAGTGCCTCTATGAACGACTCCATGTTAATTTCCCTCACCAAATGTACGCTAACTCAGTGATTTACAACCTTGGCTGACCAGCACCTGGGCCCTGGAATCAATTATTTTGATTTTGATTGCAGGGCCCTTTCCAAGACCCACCAGGATACACCATCTCAGCATGAGGGCCAAGAAACCCGAGTTTTTCAAAAGTTCCACGGCTGATTCGCATGCAGCGAGCCCATCACGGGCCTGCGGACCAGCTTTGGAAGCATTTGCACAAACTACCGTAATGGAGTCTGTGTGAGGAAAAGGGTCCCATCACAGGCATTCAAGTAAAACCAACAAGACATGGAGTGTCCACAGTACACTCAGAAGCAAAGGTTACACTTTAATAATAAAAAACACAACCACAGAGAAGCACGGTATTTTCCCTCTATTACATTAGTAAATACACAGAAGAGGAATAAAAAAAAACGGATTTACTTCAAACTACTGGTTCTTACACTCACGAACATATATCAGAATTACTGGTGGAGGTTTTAAAAATATTTAAGTCTAGGCCTCACTCCTGGAGAAGACTGCAACGGTAGTCAAAAAGCTCTTCAGTACCTCCGCCGCTTCCTTCTGGAGGAGTCACCGACTCTAGGTAGACTGGGGCACCCTGGGTTTCTTGGGCCACTGTTTGGGGGTGTGGGCAGCTTTTCTGGCAGATTTACCAGCAGTAGTGAAGAACTTGGCCTCTGGCTTTTTGGGAGTCGGTCTTGGGTCTTTCTTCCCCAATGAAGAGTTTCTTTCTTTCTCCACCTCTTCTTTGATTCTTGGCTTCTTCCCTGGGCCTTTACCTGGGGTCTCGGGCTCTGCAGCTTTCGGGGTCTCCAAGGCTGGGAAGGCCTTTCTCTTCTTCCCATGAGCTGTGCTGGGGCCAGGACTCTTTTTTGGAGACTTCTTTACTGTGGCATATTTTTGTATCTAAGAAAGAGAAGAAAGTTAAATCCATGGGGAAAAAACCCAACTGACAAGTAGATCCAAGAGTTATTGTTTTCAATATTAAGGTAAGCCCCAAAAGGTACACCTCAGCCTGATGAAATGAGGAACGGCTTTTCTTCCCGCCTTGCAGCCATTCTGAAAGGTAGCGGCATTCCATTGTTAATGGTGTACCAAGGACTCTGGCGCTCTCCCTGGTCCATCACAGGGAAACCATCCTTCCCTGGGGTTGAGGGTAGGGACGGCAGAAGCACCCCCTGGAGCACAGCAGGGAGACCTGTCCTAATCCTGGCTCTCCTCACCTTCAGTTGTCAATGCCCTGCACGTGGGTTAGGGCAGGGGTCCCCAAACTGTGTGTGTAAAAACCAACTGGCGTGGGCCGGCCCTGTGGCTTGGTGGTTAAGTGCGCGTGCTGCGATGCTGGTGGCCCGGGTTCGGATCCCGGGTGTGCATTGAGGCACCACTTCTCCGTTCATCCTGAGGCCGAGTCCCACATACAGCAACTAGAAGGATGTGCAGCTACGACACACAACTATCCACTGGGGCTTTGGGGGGAAAAAAAAAAACAAAAAAAAAAACAAAAAAAAAACCAACTGGCGTGACTGTTGGAAAAACCTATTTCCCAAAGTTAGACTCAGAGGCTCCTCGAGCAGACAGTGTCACAGGCCAGGAATCTGGGATTTTCCAAGCACAAGATGACAGCTGCTGACGATCCAAGGACAACATTCTAGCAACGGACTCTGTCCCCATACAGAAGTAGGTTATATAGACCAAAAACAACCAACAAAACAAAACTTTGAGTAAATATAAACCAAAAGATTATGGAAAATTTGAGAAACATCAAAAATATAAAAAATAAAACTCCCTAATAACTTGACCACACAGTATGAACTATTATTTATGAACTTCCCCCATGAGTATGCATGTATTTTAAAGCCAAGCATTATGCCCCTTTCCCAATTATTTCATCTGTATTTCCTAAGCACTACAAACTCTTACTAAACATTACTTCAAATAACTTTATAAAAACTACCACAAGGGTACACAACATTTTCTTTTTTGCTTCTACAGTGAACAACGATGAAACTTTTGTATAGTATTACCCTGATCATGTTTCCCAGATGGGTTCAAAGGGCATGAACGTTTCTACAGCTCCTGAGACAGTACCCAGTCAGCCATGCTCTCCACTCTTTCATTTCCAACACATGATGGCCAGTCCCATTACAACAAAATATAACAGCTTCCTTTCTTTAAAAATAATTATACCAGGGCCGGCTCCGTGGCTTAGCGGTTAAGTGTGCGCGCTCTGATGCTGGCAGCCCGGGTTCGGATCCCGGGAGCGCCCCGAGGCACCACTTCTCCGTCCAACGTGAGGCCGAGTCCCACGTACAGCAACTAGAAGGATGTGAACCTATGACATACAACTATCTACTGGGG